CTTTTTTTGAAGAAATGTCTTCAGGCTATCAAGATGCTCTTTTTCTGACTGTTGATGTTGATGAAGTCAAGGTAATCCATTCAGTTTTTAGTAATAACGCTTTTGAGCCATTTCTCGATGCTTCTGGATACAAATAGAGTATGTGGATGCATACCTGCTGATTACATGCCTGAAGCTAAACATATATCAGGATCCATGTTTATAATGCGCCGACTCTCTTTCTCTGTGTATGTATGATAGTGTTATGGATACTGTGTGTTATAGATGTTCTTTCTGCTAATCAGCATATTTTTCACTCTCACGTATGTTTAAATAATTGAATTAGTGGTGTGTGTCTGATGGAACCCAGGTTCAAGTATTAAAATTCACAATAACCTTGCCAGAGTGTGAGTCTAAGCAAGAAAAGCAACAATTCTTAAAATAAACACGCAGGACACGCTCCTCCTGGTATTTGAGAGAGCAGGCCTCTCTCAAATAACGCTCACTAATTTCCTAGCCTCCCTTAACCATCACTCCCCAAATATATACAACTAACTGCGATGTTGCTCTCTTGCACTCACACACATCATGCCTCAGCCTAATAGTTTGTTGCCGGCTCAGCCCTTTCAATGTGGGTCCAAAAGTCACCAAGAAAGAAATATAGATATTTTGTTGATCATCTTAAATGTTTCCTTCTCAAATTTGTTTACTGATTGAATTGTTGACCTAGCTTGGCATGTTATAACTCATGCTTGGGTAATGTTCTCATCTAAAGGTTTTGAGATCATTTTGTTTAACATAATCAAACATATTGAAATTCTTTTGGTCAGGATGTAGCCACTAAATTGGAGATAAAAGCCATGCCAACATTTGTGCTTTTGAAAGATGGGACTGTGGTGGATAAGATCATTGGTGCCAACCCAGAAGAGATCAAGAAAAGGATAGATGGGTTTGTCCAGTCCATTCGTGTTTCAGTTGCGTAGTTAGGTTTGTTACTTTTGTAATCTATAAGATATATGCTTGCTGTCCTTTTGGACTAGTCCTTACGGGAATTTCAGGTGGAAGGCTTTTGTGATGATACTGTTTGTGTTGAATGATGCAAGTTCAAATGTTATAGTCTCAGCTTAATATTTCACTTCTTTAGTTAGTGTCTCTTGTTTATCTGTCAGATCAAACTTTCATAGAATTTGTAAAACATACTGCAGCTAAACGTGATTGTTTAAAATTATAATGAAATCAATCAAAACACAGACTAAGACAAGCCTTTATTGAAGTGGTTCTTTTAATGGTATAAATGCCTCTATAATCAAGAATACAAGAGTTTGAGCTGCTCTTTATTCTCTAGATTAAAATGAAGTTTCAACTTTCAAGAATAAGATGTTGAGTTTGAGAGTTACACCCTTCTGTTTGAAGGAGAATGTAACTGTTTGTTTGGCATGCGGAATGAAAAAATAAAATAAAATAGAAAATAGAAAGAAAAAGGATTTAAATAATGAAAGCTCATATCCTTACTTAAGAAGTAAAAAAAAAGGGAAAAATGTTTATTCCAATGATATAACAGATTTGTATAGAGAGAATGAAAAGAATGTCATTTTCCAACCTGTAAACAACTGCGCCATTAAAAGATTATAATGAGGCCAAAATATAATTGTTGGTCCCTGAAAATTTTTTTCCATAGAATCCCTCAACTTTCCTAAATTAACATATTCTCCAACATCACGCTCTGTTATATTACATGGCATCTTAAATGTTATTTTTTGCTGACTCATCTCATTCGTCATGTTTTTCTCTCATATGCTCTCACCGCGGCTTTATCTCTGACTTTTATATGATGGGGAAGAAAACATTGTTGGAAGCAGGGGATAACAGAGTAGTTTTATCAATGGTGGCCACCAGGGTTGACATGCTGCTTTGTATGGCTGACTTTGAAGAAAACTATGATGCCACCTGTCAATTTACATGGTGCCACTGAGAGAACCAATTTGTTGTGGTCAGCACCATGAGCGGCACCTTGCCTGGTGGAATGTAGATATGTGTGTATATATATATTTTTAAAATATAAGCCTGAATGTTCTTTTTTTCCAAGAAACTTTCAGCTGAGAATATGTGTGACTCTAGGCTATTTCTGGGGTAATTTAAACTCAAAAACAAGGTAGAAGATTCCCTTGATGTGAAAAGCTTACAACTTTGCTTATGTGTACAGATTACAGACCGTAAGTTTAGAACTACAACGACCTGAAACATTTGGGAAGAGTCAACAAACCTGAAGGGAAGTTAGTTATCTAATGTTCCTTCTTTGATTTATTTATGTATTTTTGGATTGTCATTTCTTCGAGTCTGTTTTTATTTTTCATTTTTATATGGATATCGTTATCCTCTTAAGTTCAACAGGAAACCACATTTTTTTTAGTTGTTTTATTTGCAGAATATTGTTTAATTGTTTTATATTGCTGTGGTTTGTGTAAAAGCTTGCTTATCAGTATCTTTACTTCATTAGAGAGAGAAAGACTATGAGGAAATTTTTAAAAGCTTTTGTGGTTAGGAAAAATAATTATTTAGTCCTTGTAGTTTTGACGTAGTTATAATTCAATTGCTTAAGTTTAACTTGTCCAACTCATTTTATTGAGTTTAAGCCATTTAATTCATTGGTCCCTACACTTTATTAAAATCATTTAATCCTTCATAGAATGAGGCTGAAGAACATATCTGATGATTTTTGAAAGGCAGAGAGATTTTATCAGGAAAGTTAAAACTGAAGGGATAAGAATATGGCAATGGTTATAATTTAGGGATGGAAAAGATAATAGACTTTATGATATGGTATTCGAGTTTTAAGATTTGATTGCTTTGGTTCCTATGTCTGTATGGGGTATCTATCATATTAAGTTTGCAGAGAACTGGTACATGTGGGCCTTGTTTTTTATTTATGATAAGGATATTCTTGGATCAGTTTTTCTGTCAACTCAGACTAGATTCTTTTGCAAGCTCCTTATCGACATTGGCAATCAAGTACATGTTTAACCATTATGCCAACTCCGTGAGACTTGCTTTTGCCTATGTAACACCAGAGATGAAGAAAAGTATTTTAGATGATTTAATATAATCATCACAAGTTTTTACTAACTACTGAATTGAACTACTTTTGATATGGTATCAGGTTTGTATAACTAGATAATTTGGAGCTTTTTTTTTTTTTTTTGGTCATTTAGTTCTTGACACCATCTGTCCTCTTCGGCTCCATTTATCAGGGGCGACAAATGCTGCTGCTTCAAAGTAAATATCAGGTATGACGTTGATGAGCACAAACCCTTGAACGAACATTTGCTGCTGTTATCTATAGATGCATATCAGGTATGCAATCCTAGGAATATGCTTTTTCTTAGGACCAGACCATAGTTCTTGTCTACTATTTTACATGAATCATAGCAACTAGCATACCATGGGAGCTGATTAAGAAGATTGTTTCTTTTTACAGGGGGGTTTGAACCCCATGTATTTTCCAGATTTATAATCCCTCCAAACGTCAATGACACCAAAGCTTGTCATTAGGACAATACCTAGAGCCATGGCTGCACTTAATGAGAAGACAATTAAAGATGCCCTTTTGTACTTTCTAACGGCTTTCTGCACTGCTAATACCCCCACAAGGGACGCCACAAAACTTACTGTGCTTAATATCAAGGCTGTCTTTATATCTTCCATGCCTATCAATGCATACTGTAATGCCGACATTGTTGATGAGAATAGAACCATGAAAGAACTTGTTGCTGCTGTTATCTATTGATATAAACAGAAGTGATTTTGTTAATTCAGATATAAACATATTTTAAAGTAAAATACTTTGGCTTCCTTGAATTTAACATTAGCTAGGTAGATTTATTTATTTATTTACTGTGCAAATATATTTTGAGTATGCTCAATTCATGGGACGTGAATGAACTCTGCGGATGGAGAACCTTTAAGATAAGATCCATACATGCCTTCATCGCTGAACATGCCTATTCTTTTTCATTTCTGTGTTTTCCCCCAAAAACTGGGAAAAAAGGCATCTTTAGAGGACTCATTCTTTGTGTTTTACTCAAACTTACTATATTAAGGAAATTAGTTAAGTTATTTGTTTGTAATAATTCAATGTTTTCTTTTTTAAAGCACATTTTGGAATTGCCTTTTGATAGAACCAATTAATATGTACAATCACTATAGAAATTAATTGGAAAAAATGGATAAATATGAGAGATAAAATGAATTGAGATCTTATATTTAGGATCAAATTAAATATTTAATTAGTTCTTGTATTTAAAGACTAAATGTAGTATTTTAGTTAAATTAAATATGCTTGCTTTCCATTGAAATTAATCAGACTTTGTTTTCAAAATTAATTTAAACTTTTTTGTTTTTAAATTTCCCCAAGCAATTCCAATTTCTTTTGTATTTTTAATCACCACATAAATCTCCTTTGAAATGGAGTAACTTACGCTGATTTTCTTTGTATTTTAAAATATATGTAAACCTACTCTGAAAATTGAATGAACGTGTGTAATTTTAGCAAATCTCAACGGAGATCTGTGTAATTTTCTTTTAGAGAGTTTGTGTTGATTTTGAAAATTAGAAGAGAGTTTTGTGCAGATTTGGTATATTCCAGTAGAGGTCCATGTATATTTCTTGTTTCTAGCAAGTATGCACAAGTTTTGAGAGTAGGAGGAAACTTCATGTAATTTTAACAAAGTCTAAGAGAAATTTGTATAAACTAACCTCAGGTGCTACTCCAACATGAAGAAGAAGCGGGCTTATTAGCATTCCACCTCCTATTCCAAAAACACCTCCAAAGATCCCTGCTAGTAGTGCCATCAATGGAAAGAGAAGCTTCTTTAATGGTGCATCTCTGCACTGTTCTTGACCCTGCATAACATTTCCATTGAAGTCAGCTCTGTTTTGATTGAATTAGAGGTTGTGAGAAACATTTAATTGCTAGGAAAAAAATGCTTTTCAATCGGTGCTGTTTAAAGGACCTGTTGTGATTGAGTTTGGTCTTGCAGGCTTCTTTCCCTAAACACAACACAAGCTGTCAAAATCACAGCAAGAGGTACTTGAACTGATGAGAGAATCCAGTATCCCACACCACAAGGCTTCATGCGAATGATACTCTGCACTCATTTGATCTTTGGCATTACTGACCTTTCACTAAACACATGTGTCTATGTGAATAATATTATGAAACAGAAGCAGTCTATAGGAATCATGATTAAATAGCAGAAGCGCAGGCGTTGCGCCTAGAATTATTCTTGAGCTCTGGGACTGTGAAAAACGTAATTTTTATGTCAAATATGTCGTGACACTTGAATATGCGCCTAAACACTAGAATTTTATTGTAGTACGATAATTGTATTGTGTTGAGTGATATCTGTGTGTTAATATTCAGGGTTATAATTCTGAATCTAATCCTAGTCTGCAAATCAAATCAAACACAGAAGATGAAGAGGAAAAGATTCCTTACCTGTCCATTTTTGTTGTCTCGAAGAAAATAGAGAGAGAAGAAAGAAAGCCAAATCAAAAGCAAAACCCCTAATTTCAGCCACGGAAGCTTCAATCTGCTATTTTCTTTATTACCCAGATGGTGAGGTTCCTCAAAATTCCCATCTCCGTTTCCTTCAATTTCAGCATTTCTCCTTATCTTTTCTGATTCAGTCTTCCATAACGTCAACCCTCTTTTACATGTCTTTCTGATTGACCAGGCAAGAAAAATAGCAAACAGAAGAGTGACTAACCACTTTGGGAACACAGTGTTGCAGATAACTCCAACACTCACTCCAAGAAGCAAGCATGGTTGTAAAGAAAGTGCAATGTCATAATCAATCAATGACTTGCCTCCGAACTCGGAACTTGTTTTGCAAAAATTGCACAGCACATTTGCGATTGATCCTCCTGCGACGATGAAGGATGAGAGTCTTGAAGCTGTTTTGGGGTCTTCTTTAGCCACAATAGTTAAAATGGGTATGAAAAGTGCACCACCACCTATTCCACCAGCACTGGAAATAGAGGAAGCTATGAAGCAGAAGATTGCTGCTAGCACGATTGGGAGAGATGTGAGTGAACCATCATGGGGTTTGGGGAATTCATGTGTTTTGTTTTCCCATTGCAGAACTTGGTGCCAAACATGGTGGATTCTGAAGATATCTGAAGTTGGTGGGGTCTGCTTTGCATGAGAAGGAGTAACACTAAAAGATGTTGTGAAGACCAGAACCAAACAACATGCTAAGCCTCGAGTGATCATGGTTGAGTTAGAGAATTTCAAGTAACTGGAAAGATTACATGCTTTTAGTTTGCTAAGTGGCTTTGTGGTTTTTTATAAAGACAGTGATGGGAAATTACTACTCCTCCGATCCTTAATATAAGATCCATTTAATTAATTTGATTAGATTAAGGAAGTTAGGTAAGTTAGTTAATTATAAGAAAAGTGACACATTTTTCCTAAAATATCATAATCATCTTTCTATTTGATTATAGTTAAGGAAATATCTATAGGGATAATTTAGAAAAAATTAATAAATATGAGAAGTTGGTCTTATCTTTAGGATCAAAACCAACTCAAGAATTAGATTCTATATTAAAGACCGGGGGAATAATTTATTGTGGAGGAGAAAATCGATGTGCCGCTTGGAATCCCATGGTGGGTAGGAAGGGATTATAATGATGACAAACTTGTACAGTCCCGTTTGTTTAACTTTATTTCGTATGTTATTTTGATAGAAAGAATCACGGAGCCTGATGCTGAAAGCTGTATACAGGGGAGTTCATTGAGCTCAATAGCCAGATTCGACTTGGTATACCGGCGTACCTCGACCTATGAGCAGCGTGCCTTCTTTCTAGTCTAGCCTAACGTATACATATACGTGTATTTTTTTGATTAAATATTTTTAATATTGATGTTAATTAATTTTATGGGCTTTTTTATACATCTTATGCGATGGATTAATTTTGTGATTTTCGTTTTTTAATATTTTATTTTATTTTTAATTCTAAATTGATTTTTTAATATGTATAAATAAGGGGTAGTTATTAAGCAGTCATAATTCAGACAAATATAATTATTCATGATAGAATTATTTGTTCAATTTATATATTTGATGAATTCAAATATATATATATTTTGAATGAGTATAATTAAATTTTTGTTCATGATTTTTTTATTTTAAATTATTTTATTAAGAATTTTCACATCGGTCCAAATTCCGTTATGTCTTGAATTGTTGAGCCAACCGGGCATTATGTGCTGCCGTGGGGTGTAGGTTGGCCCGTCTCATCACGTGAACAGAGAACACTCCCAATTGCTTTAATTACGGTTATGTCATCCGTACATTTTTTTTAAAAAAAAAAAACCAGCAACTTTCATTTGTTTACAGACTAAGTTTTGTTTTGTTTTGTTTTTCTTTTTTTTGTGACCTGACTAAGTTTCGTTTTGGTAGCTTACAAACATACACTCCACAAGGCCCTATTTAGATAGCATTTAGAGGAGAGATTTTATAGTTATTTTTATATAATTCACCTCATTGGTTATTTATTACTCCTTTAGGTATTTAATATAAGTAATACTCCTTTAGCTCAAAATATAAGCATCAAAAGGTTTTTTTTTCTGTAAATTATAATTTAGATTTTTCTGATCATTTAATGTATTTTTTTTTCATTTTTACCTTTAATTAATTATATGTCTTTTTCAACTATTTTTTTCACTCATTCTCTTTCATTTCTTTTTCCATTCATTCTCTTTTCCATTGACCCTCCCCAAAAATAAGGATATTTCATAACAAAACATAAGTTATATTTTTTTACATATTTATTGTCTTTTAATCAATTTTAACTAACCTTTTGAGTCGTATAATTTTGTTATTAATAGAGTCAAATAAATTAGTTAATTACTCTTTATGTATTTAATTTAAGAGCTATTTAATAAATAGATATATAATTTAGGCCAAATACTTTGAACAAAAAAGAAAACTAAATAAATTAGTTAATTCTAACACGTGACTTAGTCTTCCTAAAATACTTCTAGCTAACATTAAATTATATATCTATTTATAAGTTAGATAAATTATAAATTGTTTAAAAGAAATGATAACATAAATGGATGTCTCATATTTAAATATCAAAACCAACCGCGTACCCTTCACTTAGAAAGAAAAGTCTATTTTTCAGCATGCACTAGTTCGTATGTTTTGTCAGTCGAATAGCCTTCTTGTCCTTTAGAGAGTAGGGGCGACGTCCCCATACTACAGAAGGCTGTAAGCAGTGGCTTGCTTAACTAACTCCTACATTTAATAACAAAGATGATATAATTTTTCTAAAATATCTCTATATAAAATATTAGATTATATTACTTCAATCTGAAATGTAAGACCTATTTTATAGTATAAATTACACTACAAAATAAGTCTTATATTTAGACTTAACGAGTATATACTAGTTTATAAGTTAGGTAAATTAGTTTAAAAAAATGATAAATATGATAAATAAAATAGATTTAGATCATATATTTAAGACGAAATAAAATTTCTATCTAGCTCTTATATCAAAGGTGCGTGGGGAAGGGAGTAAAAATTTTTCCTGTTACAATCAAAGTTGATATAGAAAAGTATGGAACTTTTTTAACTTTTAGGCAAGAGCTGAAGGAGCAGTGAAAATGGAGACAATATAGAGTTTAATGTCCGGACGGACCAACTTGACTTTGCTGCCAGCAGAATTTGGATCATATATCTCTTTGGTGAAAGGATCCTGCCTTGTCTGCATGCGGATGAAGATCAAGGCCTCCCTCCGTCCCTCTCTCTCTCTCTATGTTGTTTTATGAACTAACGAGAAAATTATTTTGCAAATACCTATATTTTTAATTTTTAATTTGGTATCTGTGTTTTTTCTTTCTCAATTAAATTCTTTAATTTTGTTATATTTAACACTGTTAACTTCGGTAATTTTACTCTATTAGGGCTAACGGTACTAATAGACCAAAGTTTAAAAATTTAATTAAAAAAACTATATAAGTACCAAATTAAAAATTAAGGGAAAGTATACATGCCTTGGTAATGGCTTTCTTTAACTAGCCATCACCTCTGTTCAAACCACAACAAGGGCAGTTTTCTATTAATATAAAATTTAAGGTGTCCATATTCAAATAAATGAATAAGTTTAAACCAATAAATTTAACACAGATGTTTAAGAACATAAATAACTATAGAGCGAGGAAGAACATCAAATATGATGGTTAGATGAAGTGAAAGGACTAATACCTTTCGCGTAAAACTACGTTTTTAGTAATTAATTTTGAATGTAAAATGAAGCATGCTTTGAGTAGGTATAATATGAAAGGGAATACTTTTAGATGATTCCAAAGTCAAGCCGGTTCTCCTCAACCTGATTTTTATGTATAATATATTGTTTGAATCTTATTATTTGTTAACTTAATGTTCAAGATTTTGCTTCCAAGACGAAAAATGATCCGAAATAGTAATAATTTTTTAATATCAACAGCAGGTAAAAAATTATTATATAAATAAAAATTCAAAAGGATCCAAATCAAATATAAAAAAATTAATAAAAGTGGACATAAAACTTAGTGCGAAAGTTTTTAATGGAAGAAGTAACTTTTGTAGTGATGAAAGGGTTATCTGAGGTTCAATAAGAGTATTTGCAATGAATAATTCTGTGTACTTTCAGCGGAGTCACAAGAGACTGTAACTTTTCGGCAGCCCTAAATCTGCCTATAATTCCAGAAGCTCCACAAATTAGGGATAAAATTTAAGTTTCTTGATGAAACCCCTAATCCAATTACCATTATTGTCACGAACTAAAGACTTGCTTGTTTATACATTTTTTTACCTTAAAAATTTACCTTATTTTAAAAGTCATATTTTAAAGAAATTTTATGATGTTTGTTTGATATTTTAAGTAAAGATGATAAAAATATACAGAAAAAATATTTCTAAATAAATAGTGGTAAGGTAGAAGAGAGAGATTATCATTAAAAAGAGAAAGAAAAAATCACTGTTTCTTCAAAAAAATGTAATCACAAAAAAAAAAAGTCCCACAACAAGTGAATGACAAGTTTTTGAGCAAAAAATGATAACAAGATTTCACTTATTATTAGGATTTTTTTTATAATAAGAAAATCAATCTTTTAATTTGGTCTTTGTACTTTTGACTCAATTATAACTCAATTTTTCAGATTTAACTTGTTATGACTCAGTTCTTATACTTGTTATGACTCAGTCCTTAGAAATTGTTAAAGATGAATCAGTCCTTGAAAACTCATCCATGTGGCAAAAAAAGAGAACTGATTCTAGTGATATTGAAGAAGCTCCACATTAGATTGTTATTTGAAAATGGGGAAAGGAAGAGACAAAAGAAGGAAGACAATTGAGACGCGATGGCAGATTTATGACAGCGAATGTGCTGCGAAGAGGATGGAAACCTGCAAGGATGAGGATAGGAATATATCCTCTTTTGGTCTTCATCCTCTGCGCAGCACATTCGCTGTCATAAATCTGCCATTGCGTCTCAGTTGTCTTCCCTCTTTTCTCTCTTCATTTCCCCATTTTCAAATAAGAATCTAATGTGGAGCTTAGGATACGAATAAATTCTGTTTTGGTCGCCATCCTCTTTGCAGCACATTCGCTTTCATAAATCCACCATCGTGTTTTAGTTGTCTTCCTTCTTTTCTCTCTGCCTTTTCCCATTTTTAAATAAGAACCTGATGCGGAGCTTCTTTAAGATGCCATCTCAACTTTTATCACTAGAATCAGTTCTCTTTTTTGCCACATGGATGACTCTTCAA